TCACCTATGTTTTGCATTGTATTCACTGACCCACACTGGTCCGTGAGGACCAATTAGTACATCAGCAGAGCCTAGCGAAAACCTTTTGTGCTAACAAATGTATTTTGTACAGACATGTGAACAGCATCTGGAAGCTGAAGCGTGATGTTCCCGCATTTCTATCAGCAGGTGCTTGTGCTCAAATCGCTGAGGATGAAGCCAACGTTCTATGGCTCCAATATGCTCCAGTTATCTGACGTGTTATCAGCATGTGCAACGTACGTGTCCCAAATGTCCTGACTTATACACGTCACATTCAGTTTGGCGACCATGTTGTGGAAGCTGCTATCGTTGTGCACATAAATTTCCTCCGGAGTTGACAACATTCCCCAAAAGCACTGAAAATGGCAGCTACGAGGATGACTGAAACATTAAAGAGGATTTTCCAAAAATGCTAGGACGAGCATCAGGTCCCTAACATGTGGAAGCAAGGCATCATTACCCCGATTTTCAAGTGCGAGAGCCGTTCAGAGCCCACCAACTATCGCCCAGTGATTCTCATCCCGGTTCTCTCAAAGTTGATGGAATCGATCACACCTGCGGCTGTAATGGACTACTTTGAAAGCTCTAATATCATAGCACCGGAGTAACACGGATATCGGTCATGTACTAACAAGCTACTAGCAGCTTGTGGCAGTTGGACCGAGACAGCCGACCGTGGGACCGGCATTGATATCATATACCTAGACTTTACAAGATCTTCGACCGCAGAGATCACTGAGTACTTCTCCAAAAGCTGCAAGTGCATGGAATTGGGAACCCTGTCTATGGACACATCAGAGACTTCCTATTTTAGCGAAACCTTCAGTTTCGAGTTCGTAACTCATTTTCTGATCCAAATGATGTGGACTGCGGTGTTCCACAAGGGTCAGTGTTGGGGACGCCTTAGTTCTTGTTTTCATCAGCCACCTTGCCAGTGTCCTCAAGTCAAATTTCCTGCTTTTTGATGACATCAAGATACGGCGGGCAATCGCCTATCAGGATGACCACAATATGCTGCAAGGAGAATTAGACTAGGCCACTGAATGGTCAAGGTTAAATATCCTTCGTTTAACACGGATAAGCGTAAAACTGTGCATGTCCGCCAGGAGCTCGTGTTCGCTTATAAAACTGCTTTAAAAGAGCGAAATTTTGGAGTGGTGATAAAGGATGACTACGGCTGATCGGCGCAGTCCTTGAAGGCGTCCAAAACAGTGGGCGTTCGAGAGGTCCGGTCTCTCCATTTTCCCCCAAGTACTAAATGCATATGTGAGGCCCCATGTAGAATACGCGATCCAAGCTTGGCAACCCTGGTTAAAACACGATCTGGCTGCACTGGATACCGCATAGTGAAAGTCAACGAAAAGTATGAAGGGGCATTCGTATTGCAATACCGTAGACTAGTGAGAGCCCTGGGATTATACAGCGGAAGATTTCACCGTCTACGGGGTGACCTCATCCTGGCCTTCCAGACCTAGAACAACCCCGATCACTCAAGTTTACACGTCTCTAAGCTTTGCTGCAATACAGAGTTGTGAGCTCATAAATTGAAACTTGCCACCTAATACAATTGGCTGGAATGCCTACGCAATTATATTTCCTTCGAGTTTGTCAACCATGGAATGCTCTTTCAACTTTTTTTCATTTCTGTGCCCACACTACCCACTTAAAAACGCATTGATGATGCTTTAAATCACCTACATTACCTGAGTTGATTTCGATTAATTGAGTGACGACAAGACGAAGACAAACATTGTTCTCACCAACCCCACGAAATCGGGATATCGTGGGGATTTTGTGCAACATTTTTCGAACTAACATTATTCCCACAGACCATCACACGGGACTTTTCAAACCGAGTTTTTTATCCGTATTATACCATGTGGATGTGTTACTTCAGGGGTTGAGACTTCCATTAGGTCCATGCATTCACATGTCCGGGAAGTTTCTCCATTTTGGCTGTCCACAGTAAGTCGTCAGTCACCAGTGGCCGTGTACTCGCTACCTTTAACCGAATTTGTTCAGGTAGCATCTTGCGAAATTTAAACCGGATGTTAGGATAAGCAGTGTCATTATTGAAATGTGAATATTGATGTAGAAGCAGATGTTGGTAGCTTAGGTGATAGTATAGCGATACGCACTGCTAGACTACACTACACTACGCTCGGCAATAACGCACTGAAGATGTCACCTAGACTGGTAACAAAAATAACTGCCAAACTCGGATAACAGTTCTTCTGACAAACAATGAGGAAGTGCTTGACAAGTCCTTAGGATGGTTGAGATAAAATAAAACAAAATCCAGAATCATGTGTCACATACCCAGCGACTACCGAGTTAAAGGCGTTGATTAATAATGTTGTAGTAAAATGGAATTATAATTCGAACATACAGATGAACACGGTGTGCAGTGCTCGTTGACGAAAGCTTGTGAAAAATAAAAGTGGTCTCTCATACATGTGCCTCATGCATGGGTTCTTATGATGCATAAATCGGGTAGAAGGGCATAAGTAATAGCATTCACAATAGCGAAGCGTCAGTGACTAAATCCCGGGAGCTAAGAGCAACATCCAATCGTATTTCGAAAATGTCCAAAGTAGAGGAGGATATATCTGATTAATGGGGGGGGAATTCTAGTGTTTACAAATCAGAGGAGGAAATAATTTCGTTGGTAATCTAGACGGCTCCATGGTTCACTCAGTTTCAAAGAGTTACTTCTAAGCTTGATGTTGTGGTAATTTTCAGAAATGACGGATACTTGGTTGGGGTCACTCATATTTGACACACCAACATAAATTCACCGTGCAGCCTACGGTAGCTTCCGCTGAATACCCAATTCGCTTCCGGCTTTACTGAGAATGAATGTGTAGACCTATGACTTTTCTGTTGCCCTGTGTTATGGTGTCTCTACGCAACTACTTCGCGTTTCAACCAAGCTTGTCTAGCCAGGATTTCGAAATCAACGTGAGTGTGCATCTATGGATTGTACATCATCGGAAGGGTTGATGGGTCAAATCTCATGAATGCGCTTCGCAGCAGGCCGACATACGGATTACCTCTTTTCGCAGCTGCATCAGACTGTTTTGAGCAGTTGAGGTCACTCTGCATGAGCACACCAAAGTTGTGTTCTTGTGAGCTGATCTGCTATCTAGATGACCCAATCCAATACGTGTAGTGATGTTTAGGACGTGGTTGAAAAAATCGACATATTTACATTGAATAGTAGGGCATTTTTTGATGACTAGTTCGAAATCGTGTTAAGATTGCACTGGAGTCCTTCCTGGTTGTTTGATCCTCTGATCGCCTGCCATATCTTATTAGCGTCTACGAAGAATACGATAGCGGAACCGATTGTTCTCGCTAGAACATTTACGCTAACGAAGATTAGTCGAAAAATTCTCACCAAGATTTTGGTAAATGCAATCCACACCAATTACATCGAACTGAAATTACAGTAGTCTCACTTCCAGCCGACGTTCTTGTAGATAATTGTTTATCCAACGCAGAGTCGATTCAGCAATGCCATGCATCCGAAACCTATGTAGGAGAATTCGATGTTCTAATCCAGGGGTCCCCTAACTACGGCCCCCGATCTGTTAGTCCGGCCTGCCGACTGTACCCGAATTGGTTTAATCATTCCAAGGAACACGAGACGTTGTGATACAATTTATATTTGACATTACATGTCATATTGTCACTGACCTTACACTGTTTGTATCCTAGCGCCAGCCACCTCAGGATTGTTACACGTGACATCGTATAGCCGTAGCATTTGTGACCCCACATCGCTGGAACATGATGTAAGCGATCATGCATGACACCCATTCATTGGTGCGCCTTACCGTGTTTCTGTTTACCTCACATCTTTGTGCCACAATAGTGGGATTTATCCGCTCACTTGAAGGACGCGTCGTATAAAGTGCCACGTTTATGTATGCGACTTTTGGTGTCAATTAGAACGAATTGTAGGTCCATAGTACGGAATTGAGTCAGGAACGCATTCCTCTAAGTGTTATTAATTGAATATTCCCCCGGTGGCCGATGCTCCTCAGTTTTGCGATGTTTCAGCTGCTTTTTGTTAAGTTTGCAGTACAACATTTTCCTTGTTCAAAATCCATTTAATTCATCCTTTACTAAATCTACTTACAAAAGAAAAGCGAGCACTGTGAGGTGTTTTCATTTTGTTTTGTTCCAGAGTTTCCGTTCTGGCTCGCAACGATTGTGTATAATGATCATACGGCCCATGCTATTTTTTCGTTTATCCGCCTCGGGTTAGTTACTTTTTCCTTAATCCGGCCTGCGCCAACATTTTTCAAGTTATCCGGCCCGCGATCTATCGCTTTTGAGAATCCAGATGGATGACAATGACTCTTGCTCCACCATCAATTGCTTCAATCCAGTTGCTACGCAAAATTTGCAGGTTAGTTGCACATAAGTTATTCCGGCGGAATTGACACCCCTTCAGGGTCATGCTGCTGTGCTTTACATCTAGCGTATCGGTGCTTTTATGATTATTGAAGTTATAACTTTAGTAAACGCAGGAAGCGGCGTATGACCAAAGTAAGCACAGACCATATTCGGGTTTTGGAGCACGCGCTTTGTGTCTTGAATTGTGGCACGCAACCTCATTCGTGGGTTTGGTTGAGGTCGAAGTCAGCCGAAGCCATTCCTATCACCGATAGTGTCCGAACAGTTTTGACAGCATTGTAGGGATAGTTAACATTGGCGGGATCCGCAGTTGAAGCATTCGAATGTCTTCTACAATTACCACACTGAGACCATCACTGCCGTGTATGTTTTCATTTAGGTTGCTTTACCTCATCGTCTACGTTATTCACTTGGAACGACTTTTCTGTCTACTTTCCTTGCGGATGAGCGAACTACAGGTTGGCTCGCACTTATGAACCTAGTTCTATTTTACATGTGAGGTTACCGTAATAAACTCATGAAGTATTTGAGCAAGTACAATGACCTGAACTCACCTTGAAGCATGCCCTCAGTGCCAGCGCGTATTTCATTCTTTGGGAGAGACGTAATCCGCTCAGTAGATGGTCCGAGTCGTCGGAAATGTGCCTCGCCTCCAATTCACTCAGATAAACCAAGTAACGTGGGTTGCTTCGTGTTTCTGGTTTCCGACTCGCGGTCCATTGTACCAATATGTTCGTCTCCGCTGTATTATCCTCCAACTGTTTGGCGACCAGCGAAACGGTGACTGGTGTGTGCTGTTCAGTGGGTGTTGCACACGCAACCACAACGACACCTTGTCCCGGGTGAGTTACGTCAGTCTGTACAATGGTAGGTGGTTTCAACTGTAACTGAGCTAAATTCAATTTAAAAAGTAAAATATATGTTCAACTGATCATTGAGAATTACATGCAAATTAAATCAAAGTATTGGATTGACTTTACTCTGTGCATTAACAGATTGTATATAACAGTGAACACAGAGATGTGAATTACACTTCAAAGTAGATTAACTACCGGAAATCATATCCAATTTATATATCCACGACATTGGAACAAAAGCCTCGTCGCCTGACAGAACGTAAAGGGTGTGAAAAAATGCGAAATTGCAATAAACACCCAACCCCGGGAGGAAGCGTGGATACCGATATCATTAAATTTGTGATTGCCGGGACACTGTCCACTAGTTATGTATTGCAACGAATGTATAGACACTACGCTATGCTTTGTCTCCCTACGATGTACATACTGGCTATATTATTCTGATAAAGGGACTTGATTTTGATGATCCACTGGATTTACCTTACTTTAGTCTTTTCCTTCTTGTTTCAACTCCCTAACTTGCTACTCACAAATAGCTCCAACTGTATTACTCCAGTCTGTTCAGTAATATTGTGTATTATTCATCTGATTGTGGATGGTGAACCTAACCGCTTCATCCTTTTCATACGCCCTCCTCCCTCATCAAACCGCCGCCCTCATGGCTCCACCAAGCTGCACCGAAAAGAACAAAATAAGAATGGCTACGAACTGGTAGCATACAGAGACAAACGTCCCAAATGAAAATATTCGCGAAAACATCCCTATGTAACTAAACGAAAACCCAAACTATTGACATCTTCGCATGCCTAAGCATATTGCAATGTAACTATGATGCTTCTCTTTATGGGCTCGGATTTTTGGTAAAACGGGAAATATACCTTAGTATATTGGGCCAATCGAATGTCTCAATTAGGAGGAATCATTATACACTCGGATATGTGTATTTTCGGCACTTAGATTTTCAACTGCAGTTGGACGAAATGGCATAATCAAAAATGCAACATTTTACAAATGATTAGATAAAGGTAAAGGGGTGTATGTTCACTAGAATAAGCAGTCCTGTCTTCCAAATCAGTGATCGCAGTTGCCGAACAGAATCCTCATGATTTGTATGCAGTCTAAAAAGCAGACATTTGTTCGTAATTGTGTTTCAATTTGTTTGATATTTCGTGATCAAAAGCAGTAAGTCACGAATCGTGCGTAATTTCTCGAACTTTGTAATCGAGTCTAAATATAGTGAGAAGAGCCCCGTGGCCTTAGCGATAATTTGACCCGAGAAGTCATCAAAATATTCGTGCAAAACTGATATGTGCACGGTGTCGGCCAGTGGCCGAGTGGTCTTCGATGAAAAAAGCAACAGTCAACTGAAAGTCCGCGTTACTGCCAGTTGTATCGAAAAGCGTCCATATGCAGGCTCTCTCCGTAAGCGATAAAGAGAACTGAATTGCGTGGTTGTTGATTTTCAATCTAAGTTGCTATCAATATCCGAGTCCGTTTGTTTCGACTAATAGAATTGACAGATATGCAAAATATGCCAGTTACCAACCTCTTTGTGGAGTTGCACATCGCGAATGTATCGGAACGCCGTACACATCGATAGGTTGTGTTGGATCCGCGCCAGAACTCGGCGCGATAACTGGTCTCACGGAGATCCAGTAAACCTTGTTTGATTCGAGATTGTCAATCTGATGCTCTACCAAACTTTTCGGTTGCAGCACTCGAATGGAGGATTCTCGAGATTGCAGAGCAGTTGGGATGGCGGCATCGGTGTAATTAACCTGGCAAAAAGTAAGCGCATGGTTACGAACGCAAACGCATTTAGCCTGCCAGGTATACAGTTGTCAGATTCCAGGAATGCAGCTTGACCGCAAATGTCAGCTAGGCAAATTTATCACGGGATTCTTCAGTGCATGTTAGTGAATGCTCTAATTCTGCTGGTGTACGCGCTTATGCCGGCCGACACTGGAGCGCTCTTGCCAAGAACAAATCCAAAGGAGCGAAAGTTGTGAGTATTTTTCTAACTAACAACAATTAACTGGTTGAAAGATGCATACATAGGCTTATTCCTCTTCAATCCATATCGTATTATTTTGCATTATACTAAGACTGTACAAGGAAAATGGGTATTCCTTGAGTTAGTATGATATGTTATGTTAGATATGCAGTGTTTTAGGGCGTACGTATAAGAGATTCCACCCATAGGTATATAAACCGGGATTGGCTACTGAGTTGTTTATCGGGAGCCAATATGGCTGTTTTAGAAAGCAGATCTAAAGCAAGGAGGCTTAAGTTTGTAATGTAAAAGTCCCACCTTGAACTAGCTATAACAAAGGACACCGATGAACATTGCTAGAAAGGGGAATGAACAAATGCAACACACGAAGCTGTCGCGCATTGCATACCAACCTAGATTCCAAGCAAAGGTGGTGATTGATTCAATCGATTCAACGGGGAACTCTGCACACTGCCACATATGTGGAGGCCAGTCCCAACTAGAACCCAAAATTCTATGTACAAGCCACCGGATTCCAAGGCGCGGCATCTCAACATGTGAATTTCGACAGATCCGGCTTTGCTCATTCGTCATATTCTGACTCACATACCCATGCGAGTGTTATCACTGGTCGCATGTTTATACAACTATGATTTTGTTACGAATCGTGCAGAATTCGTGGAACCGAAATTTAAATAAATAACAGACCTACGAAACACGCATGCTTATGCATTTCTGTGAATGATAGAGGTAAAACACGGCGTAGACTGTGTTGAACCTACTCGATAATGCATGAGACGTCCACTATCCGAGTGAAATACGAGTAGCTGATCCGGTGTGCGCCAACTAATTTGTAGCGTCCAGCGCTGGTTCTGATCCATATACATAGGAAGGCATGTCAAGTTGTATAACTTGGCCGGAGCACCTGTTGCTGTAGATCTCACATTAACTGCATCGGACCAGGTACCTTCGTGACCATTAGCACCAACTGAACTGACACGAACCACGTAACCGACGTAGTTGAACACACCTCGTTCGTGCTAAAATTGAAGATGAATACATTGTCCTAGCCCATACATGGAGATAAACGGGGAAACAGTAATAAAAGATCGGAATTAAGATAAATTTTCAGATGTTAAGTTGTTGGCTGCGTTGAATAATATATTACAAACGTGTCGTTACCAATCGCGGTGACATCTTCAGTGCATAGTGGTTACAGTAGCTGTGGCTGTCTAGTAGCTACAAATCCTCAGCAGGAGGAAATACTCAAGGCTTAACCTCTCCTTAGGCTTTATTTGTCCTCTCATTTAGGTCGTCGGTTACCGCAACCCATTCTTTAACTCGTTGACACCATTGTTCGCTCCCGTGTTCCGTATTTTTTAGCTCATTTCCTAAAAGCACAGTTGTACTCGATATATTTCAGACACTAATCTTAAGCCAGGTATTAGTTTATTGTAATTTTGAAAGCGCAATTTTTAGAATGCGAAAGCAGGGATAAAACGTTGGTGCTACTTGACTTGTTAGGTTTATTAAGCTAAACAACTCTGTCGAATCCTATGCAAACATATAACATAATGTATATTTCTCTTGTGATGCGATGTTTGCATCTAATTTTTGGCTGAGCGTAGCTGAAAATGCGTGTGTGAAAGCGCTTGCGATGTATTATCGTGGTTCGGAGTTGAATAGAAATAATAATGTATTCGGTGAGTAGATGGTTAAAGGACAAGAAATATCTACACAAACGTTGCCCCCATACGATGATGAGGTTGCAGTGGGCAGAATTCTGTAATGGCACTGCATTCCGCTAAGGGGTTACTTCGTGACACTCGTTGGTAGTCGACTTGTTCAAGAGACGACCGGCCGTGGAAGGATTCCATTTCTTCTTCATGTTACAGGATCTTGAAGCTACCTTCACATCATTTGTCAACAAAACCGAACATCCTTTTACAACTGACTGAAACGGTTACACTATGTCAATAATACTGCATAACTAACGGGTGGCGAGTGGGATTAGGGGCAATATATCTGTTTTCGTGGACGTGCTAATGACCACTTGACGTGTTCTTACCGTGCGGTTCACTTGGACAGGTTGACACATCCATAACATTGATTCGTTGCTCTAACTTTAAATTCATTGGACTAATCGTATAAACTAAAACCGAAGTTGACCACCTGCATATCCTGAGTAGCTCTCTAAGCTGATGGTTTTTTCTTATTGCTTGTGGATGCAGACTTCTGTAAGTTTACCACTTCAGTATGATGATCCTTTTGGTCCAATCCCTTGAGTGCTCAACTTACAGAGACTTTATCATAATTGCTTCTGATTAGCTGTCTCGCTCGCAGGTTCATAAGACATCGCTTTGTGTTGAAATCGCAGGCTCCGTGTTATTATTGTGTCCATACAATGGTTATGTTATGTCTTCTATTCTCCGCCTCCTCGACATAAAACCAGCGATAATGGATTCACGATTAAATGAGTGAATGCGTGCCAATTGGCTTTGAAATCATTTCCATCTCAACAAGCTGCCTTGCAATTGTAATTATATATTCTGTTTCCTATTGTGTTTGGATGGAGACCAGTGACCACGACCTAGGGTACAAACGCCGGACAATTGTTGAACCCAGGTACTTTAAATGCGTAAAACTTGGAACTGATATCCAAAGACAGGTGATGTTCGCTGGTCGCATATTCTCAAAATGTTGACAACAACATGTCCTCGTGTGGAAAATCGGATTACCTGCATGGTATTCTTTTACGCTGTTTGATCATAATTTCCGATTGAAAGAGAACAAAAAGCCACTCACAAAGGGTAATATTGTGCGATAGTTTTAAGAGAGGCTGTAATAGTCGGTGGTATCCTCGTGCGTCAGAGACGTAAACGATCGTTGTTGCCTGTAGTCATCGGAAGTTATTTCATCTCCTATTTACAATTTGCTAACACGCTTGGCGAGTTCGACCAAATACTCTAAAAATGAACCAAATCGAATCATACCCAAATCCGTCTATTCATTAGTAATCAAAAATCTAAGCCCTATCAGTATTCAAAATTGCTGTGTGGAACCACGGCGCTGGCAAGGGAAGACCTGATAGTGAAGGCCAACCACTGTCCTCTGCATGGGACATAACCTGCACGGCAGTGGAGGATGGGTCGGGCTATATCGCAGTTAGATTACAATTCGTAATGGGCGGCTGTCGTCTCCCATGGCTCAGTGGCATAAGCTGCTGGCTAGTTGGTGTTAGCCTCTAGCGTTCATGGGTGCGATCCACAGTAGGGGACCGATAGATGCGCTCCATTGACGAGCCCCAATAGGGCGAAACGAGAATCTGGTACATTTTCGGAATGGTAGCTTACTTATGCGGCTTGGAATCTAATTGCGATGAACCAAATGGAATAGAAATAAATGTATATCATCATAATTCCCGAATTTCTTGTCGATCAGGTATCACCCTGATACGTAATCCTGGTCCTTTGAATCTGCCCAGTCACGCAGAAGCCGAATGCAAGAGCAGCCTATTGTAGGTGAATTCACAAAGGTTGATATTGGATACTGATTTCCCCAAAGCGCTGCCCTCTGCAACCGTTGTCGAACTTTGTTGACTTCCTGAGGTTGGGATATGGCATGCCATCCAACCCGGACCTAGCAGATTTCAGCCGAAGTCCATACTGCTAGGCTACCCAGTCGCGGCGAGCAACGCAGTTACTGACTCATAAGCGCACGCTAAGTAAAAGTACTTACGAGTTCCGGAAAAATTTGAACCTCATTACATTTCGCAAATTGTACATTCGTTGTAGCTAAACTGCTGAGAGTAAATGGCATTAGTCGCATTAGCCGAAATGCGCATTGTATTGTAGGACATGTACCAATCACATTTTACCACGTGATTCCAAACTACGGCATTTTAGTGTTTCGTTCATTAAATGCTCTATGTTTTTTTAGTTAACTTAAAAAGCTAGGATGTTATGGACTTACTACAATGAACTCGGTGACCGGTCCGTTTGTTAGGTATCGCGTCCAGTTCTGTTGGTCCGGGGGCCTGACGTACACTGCAAATCGGCGATAGATCAACTGGCTTGGAGTCATTGATGCGTTAACCATCCGCTGCTGGCTTGTCAACGTCTGAACAAGCTCCAGAGGCATTGCCCAACTGATCCGCAATTGAGCTCCTCGCAATGCCAAGGCGTTGATTTTCTTGGGTGGTGGAGGGGCACCTTGTTTGATTTGTGGGAAAGAGTTTTTTTCATGTGACATTAGCATTGTGTCTATGAAATCCTGTCATTAAAGTGCCAGATTCAGTTTGGTTCAGTTGATACAGTGCAGTTGCCTTGACTAACGTTTTTAATATATTACGCGGTATTTTAGAACTGCGAAATGTTGCTGTTCCCGCAGAAATAAGCAAAGAATTTAAGTCAATAGACTAAACAGTTCGAAATCGAAAATAGGTGAATTAATATAATTGTTCCACTGGCTTTAGTCTGTGGTATGGAACATCCAAGTGCCCCATCCCTGAGGAAGACATATTGCAACTCAACTAAGATGCTCTGAGAATGCATCTATGCACTTTGTCACGCAATTGACTGTGTTCCGTGGATTTTAATCAAACTGGTCTGTACTATACACTGAAGCACCCTTTTAAATGGTATACAAGCAATATGGTCCTGTCAAACTAGTCGATCTGAATTAAACAGGCGCGCCAATACGTCATTAGAGGATGGGGTGAATATGAAGAAACAGAGTACCCGTGTTACCTATTGCATGTTCTCACCAAGAATTTCAAAGTACTTGAAGGACCAGTGTCGCTTTTCCTCTATGTCTGTTGATAGATTCACAGGTTACTAGACATTCATATGAAATACCGGTGATGACATGCGAGTTAGTTAACCTTTGCAGACATGTTCAATGGTATGCGGTCTGAGCAGATGCAAAAGTAGGGACCTTCAATTATTCCTTCTCTATGCTGAGATTGACGGCAACTATACGCTCGTATAATACTTTAAGGGTGTTACTGACTCCAACTTGATAGGACCGATCGCCAGATCCACTGTATAAGCTAAGGGCTGGTATGTAAGATTCTTTTTCACTCTATTAAATTGTAGATTGTTAAAAGAGTTTGCAGAAAGAAGCCCATCAGAATTTTTGGTTGTTAGAAATAATATAACTACTTCCACTGTTCCTCGATATATGCTGGTAACGTATACTATCATTATGAGTGGAATCCGCGTCCAAATTTTTAGACTGATGTTTAGCCATACAGAAGCTAATTCTTGAACTTCCAAAACTTCCAGCGGAGCTAAAATGACAAGTTTTCACCGGACACCAATATATCATGATACGTAGGCAAGATGTCGGACTAATTTAGCACTCGTGCATCAGCTATTACTGTGCCTCCGATTTTATCGCATTCAAGCTCAAATACCTCCATCTAGCGTTTTGAAAATAATACATCTACACTTTACGGATTACCATGCCCTGTCCATTTGCTTGCTTTCCGTTCTTTTCCGCTGAAGCTCACACATAAATCCATTATCCTTTCGTCTAGCATTAATAATTCTGACATTATTTAGAAGCCCACTTCAAGTGCTCTCGAACAGCTCCACAACTGCTCCTTTCGGTAGCTACAGGCACCTACAGCCAAATCTATTTAATTTATTATTGTTGCCGTCGCCGGCAGAGAAGCGCCCAACTACGCAACAGCGCGCCGTAACTTCGGCAGCGTGGAGTCGACAGCTCGCGTGTCATTGCGGATTTTCGATTGTGGTATTTTCCTTACCTGGCCTTGAGGTGAGTGAAGTAAAGTGATGCACGAATCTGACTTCACAAACGACCCACTTGTCGACACGACTCGTAACAACATCTGGCCGAGGCAATTCATTTTGGACTCACATATTCTAGGTAACACCAAACATATGCATTTTCAGCTGTATTCAATAATGTTTTAATGACTAAGGCACGTGGTATTTTTTTGTTAAACTCAGTCATTTCCTCTACGCATGCTGTCTGCGAAAGCTATGAACGGAACATGAGTATTTGAAAAGTTCACGGGATTCGATTCAGATTGAACAAAGAAAATAAATTGTGGGAATATTGCTGGACCTGAAACAAATTGACACTTGCATTTACGGTCAAACTCTGCACAGAATTCATAATTTCATGAGGACAGAAGTCATGTGTTATAGTTTGGATCTGCCCCTTTGTGAAATAATGTATAGTTTAATGGAACTACCAGCTCATCAGCATATAGCTAGAGCAAGCAAGACTCTCTAAAGGGCTTCCATTGTCTTAGAGAACCATGCAGTTCTCTTTGCTGATAAGCGTCGCCTGCCTTGGGGCTTTCGTAACGCTCTCAGATTTATTCCGCTTGAGGAGGTTTCAGTGTTGACATTCTAGGTTGAAAAAATCAAATTTCTTTATAAAATGCGTGGATTCACTAGAAGTGTTCCGATAAACTTGAGCGCTTTAATCCAATCCCACATATCCCAAGAAACAGTCAAATTGACACGTTCCGACACGTTGTGGTACGTGCACGTATGTTTGACAAACGCATGCATAAAGGCACGCACTTGCACCAGCAGCCATTCTGTTTCACTCCTACAGGTATCGAGGTTAGATAAACATGTGATCAAAGTACAACCCTACTTCGTACACAGTGGTTCACTATTTGTGTCCACAACACTGGCCATGGAATTGCGGTCACATCCTCCTACAGCCTACTGGTGTGATAAAATGGTGCGTCCTACTGAAATTGCGCAGACCCAGGGAGAGTTAACGTTTACACATTACTTTTACCTACTCCCTGCAGTTTCTACCTACACAGAAAACCAGAACTTGCGACTTCTAAGGAACCTGCTCGGCACCGGACAGCAAAATCCACAGAATTTCCGTGCTTATCCCCAATAGTACATGAAAATCCTACCTTGTATACGGCTAATATTCCATGGATGATAAACACCTTGTTCGCTGCTGTCAGGTACACTGATAGATACTCTCTGGTGTGTGTGTTCATAACACGCGCATGTTAGTCACTTCCCGCTAAGCTGAATGGATGTATAAGCAACTGCGGTTGAGTTGGGGTGCACAATGGGTACACCGGAGAATAATCCAGCTCCCATGCGTAGCTCTACCTGCAAAATATTCCAGGTTGATGAATGGGATTAGCAGGAACAAGTAGTCCGTTATTGCTGAAGCATTCTGTCTGAAATAGCACAAGCTGATCTCAGCTGGCGATTTCTGTGAACGGATACCGTGCTAAGCCAGTGAGCAGATGGGTCCATGGCCTACTGGTAAATTCTTGTGTTTGGTTCCAAATGTTTGTATCACTAAGCATTGTTGGCGACATCCGGTTACGAATATGCCTGTCGCTGTGGCTGGCCACAGGACGCCTGCGCCTACAGAGGGACGATGAATGGCTTGCGCTGCACCACCCACAGCTCCAACCACACACCCCATATCCAGTGTAAACCCGAAGGAATAAGACCGGGAGACATGTGGATGGGAGCCACGTTTCATCAACGGAGCCGGCCCACATTCCTTCACAGGCAAAGTCAGTCAATTTGTATGTGGAGAATCAAGTGCACACAAGGTGGTGGCTGGACCGTAGTCCGCTCCACACTGAGTGGAACCACTTTCCGAGCCTAGCACGGTCACAAGGACCGTGCACCCCGTCCCCTCCATCAACGAATAACTGTCTCCTGGAGCCAGTGTGGACGAGGTAGTGAGTAACATACAGGTAGGCACCCGGTCAAAATGCACGTCAAGCACAGCCACACCGGGGATATCAAACAGCAGACAATCACTTGAAATAACTTTATCAAATAACATCTATCTGTTAAAGCATATGGCTATGCCGATATAAGTTTGCTAATTTAGCATATAAAGTAAGTTGTTTAGCACCGAATCCGTAATTAGTACAAAATATCCAGAAGTTACTCAAAAAGTGCTACAAACCCAATACAGTCAAATAAGATGTCCACAATTAGCAAAAACATCGTGGCAAGTTAATAGATTATTCCGGTAGGCAGAACAAACCAAACAAAGTGGAATGAAATTTATCCAGCCTAAAGTACCTAATTTAAAGGCAAATTGGCTTAGCCCAACTGTAGTGAAGAAGCTTCATAAATGCAACATCAGCCTCAGCATGGGGCACACATACATGGTTGGTCAGTCTAAGCAAAAAACTGAGGTAACTGACCTCTAAGTTTACACCTCAATCACGCTTCATCATCGTTCGAAAGTAGTATGGGGAGTTCAGTGTAAGCATGGGGAAAGTGTTTGTAATCAGAATTAGTCTGGTAGCCAATACACGTCCAAAAAGCGCTGAAGCTAGTTTTCGTCCCACATTGACTCGGAATTCGAGCTCATGCGTAAACATAGTCTTCCACGACTAAGACACCCACTCATGTACTGCTTCTTTGGGTCCTCGTGACAAATAAATCCGGTATGAGGGCATGATAAAAATATCCCACAGTAGTATAGCTTAAGCGTCAAACTGCTGGAAGCTAAGATCTACATTTAATCCACTTTAGTAAGCATTCCAAGTAGGGAGGAAGCAAACGAGTTCGGGCGAATGTTGCATGCTTGGCAAACCCGTGAAGAAAATTTTTTCCGAAGGTATTCTAATCGGCTGTATAGTTCACTCAGCTTCAGGCAGTTACTCCCGTAGTTGGTGTTTTGGCAGACTTTTATCAAGTGACGGAATCCGTGACTAGCGCCATTCAACATTTGGTACACCAATATGAGATCACCGTATAGTCGTCGGTAAGGTCTGCCGAAAAACCAAGTTGCTTCAGACGTTTACTGATTATGGAAATTGTGGAGACCAGGGATGCCCAAAGTCCGCCCTGTAGGCAAAATGTGGCCCACGTAAACCTTTCAACTGGCCTGCCGTCATATTATGAAATAATGATTTCAGGCTTGGAATTTTTTCGTACATATTTAATTTCTGTTATTATCTTGATGTCAGGCTGAATATAACCCGACATATTGTGCCTCACAAACTGTGGCCCTCCTTGCAAAATGTTTGGACGATGTTGCTGTAAACTTTTGAGGATCTTTGTTTCCCTGTTTTATGGTCTCCCTATCAATTCTGCGTCCCAATTCAACCAAGGTTGCCAAGTTTGGATATCGTGTTCAACATGGGGGCGCACGTAGGATTAATGCATTATCAGGAAGATGGATAGGTCAAATATCCCGATTGATTTTCTCAGCAGACCGACTTGCAGGTTGTCGCTGTTCGCAGCTACCCTGGACTACCTTGAAGAGTTGACAGCAATCTGCACGAGCGTGCCACTGTCGCATCGCTAGGAACTGTTCTACCATTTGTGTACCCCAAGTCTACACATGTAGTCGTGCCTATGGTCGGACGCCTGTCGCTTTTTGAGAGATCGTTGGTTTTCGAAGTTGAGTCGGCGCTATGGCCTCACAGAGCAATCCAGATGTCGACGTTCTCCAGTGCTTCTCTTTGTCCTCTGGGATGATGCGGGAACTATTGTGTCGGTCTTTACGCACACGTGTGGAGATGAAGTATTTACTGATATTGCAAGTCCTAGCAAATTGCTAACCAGTTGTGGCCGTACGTCTAGTGCATTTAGCCGAACTTCAGTTGGCATCCTAACGCAAAACTTCAACCCGTTAGCTAACAGCGCTTCTGTCTTTCCAACGGATTATAGCAGGGTTTTCTATAATCTTGGCCCGAGGAACGTATAGTATGTTGACGAAGAAATTCTCTCCAAGGATTCATAGATAACATCGTCCATAATTCTTTCGTCGCAAACGTAGCGCCAGTTATCTCTGTCATGTTTGCACTACTTTTACGGAACAGCCGATCATTCCGTAGTTTTATATAAGCCAACTAGGGTTCTACGTCTTGCTCCATTACTCTCATCCTTACGGTAATGTCAGGTTTGGCAACTCTCGTCGTCGCTGTTGGCCCCGGATGAACATATAAATGAGTGAACATATGTTGCGTCAAAAATTATAGCCATGAAAAGTTCTGAACAAACCTCTCTGTTGTTTGGCGTAGATCACTACTCTAGAAGACCATGGTCCATCACCGTACTTGGTTCTTCCACGAACTGCGCATGTTGAGTCGCGAGTAACCGATGCAAACTGCCACACAGACTGCACCCGAATGCGTCCATTGGGCCATGCAATGAGGCTGTTGGGAGTGCCCTTGTGGTTACCATGCCACTCGACCTGGCTATTGTACATTGTGACATTGATCGACTTCATCGGTTGTGTGGAATCGCATAGAACCTCGTAAGACCCAAAAGGACCATGCCGGTGAGACCAATCTGGTGGCCCCCAGGATAGGATGAATGAATCCATCTCATGTTTGACGCGCAGATCCGTTGGTGTTCCGGTTGGAGCTGTGAACAAACACGAGTGGAAAATAAAGTGCTTTTCACACAAAGTATCCATGTATGGAGATATAGAAGAGGCCAGTTAGCGATAACTACCCAAGTGACTAGCCATGCTTTCTACATTCGATTATCTCTCTGGTTAATTATTACAACGTACACTTATGCTGCAAACGCCCGCACATACAGTGAGGCTAGTAGGTTGGTCTATCAGATGGCATCCGTTTATCCTCCCACTGTATATTCAGTTTATCTAACAATGTAAGATCACTGATGAGTAGGAGGATACTTGATAGTATATGACTGGTTCATTCCAGCTACTCTCAAGGCAGATCAGTCAAAACCTAATTCGGAAAAGTACAAGGCTACCGTTTCGCTTTATTGGAGCTCGTCAGTGGTGCGCGTTCACCAGAACCCCTGCTGGGGACCGAATGAATGAAGGCTAACTGCCCCAATAGCGCCAATCGATCATCCGATGGTTTCCCGGATTGTTTTTACCCCAAATTGGTTACAGATATGGGCAACTATACTGTTGGCGTGCCGTTACAGTATGCAGTATCGGACTACACAACAAATGGGCCAAGTGGATGCCCTGTATGGTCTCATCAATTTGCACCTAAAGCAGAACGATAATGGTGTGACTGTAGCCATGAAGTTCAAATCAGAAGTCTAGGGAATCCAGACTGATTCTGTAACGATATTACAAGTGACAGTGGACACTAGTCACGTGGAAACGTTATGGGACAAAACCCCAGAGAAATTTGTGCGTTAAGTGCAAAAAGGTTCGTCATAAGGTGCTATCCTTGCTGATTTTCGGGTCTCTGTCCGTTGTGGACAATTGTTTGAAGTTTGGCGACAGTGGTGGCGCCAAAGAAGTTGAACAGGCAAGTCTTAGAGTAGCTTCTTACCGGGCATCCAGGTATCAACCGTATGAAAGTTTTGGCACACATTTGTGCTTATTGATTCAGAAAAGATTCAAAAATTAAACAACCGCCAAAAATGTTAATCCTGTCAACTGGGGCGTAGGCCCATCCCAAGTACCCTGCTGACCTTGGCGTAAAGCAGAGAAGCCATGGCAGCGAATCCAGTTAGAATATGCGAGATTAATGACCGGCAAATCCTACGTTGTTTTGGTGGACTCGCTCACCAAGTGGTCCGATGTGATCCCGATGCAAAGTATGACTGCGCAGCACGCGATCAAGGAGTTGGGTATGAGGCTCCAGTATTTTGGCCTGTCGGAGACGATTGTGACAAACAACAGTATTCAAAATTCACGCTTTGCGAGAAAGGAATTCAGCAGATATCTTTACCACTCTACCATCCACAATCAAACGGACAAGCGGAACTATTCGTGGATAGTTCCACAAACGTGCTCTTTGTAAATCGGGACAATACAAGTTCCCCCATGACGTGATCCAGTCTTTCCTGTGCATATAGCGGAATGCGGCAAACTTAAACGCCCTCAGATGTAAAACCTCTTGTCAGAATTTTGTTTGGACGAAAGCGCAGGACATTGAATTTGTAAAGTGGAGGAAAATCTTACAGACAGGCTCCGTCACTTCAATTTGGTAACATAATGTACTCGCAAGACTTCCGAGGAACTAGTAGATGGTCGACAGAAACGGTGATCGGCAGAAATGGTTGAGTCATCTACCATCTAATGGTAGGAATTGAGAACTGGGTCCGGCACGCCAATCAGCTGAGGCCGAAGTACTGCAAGACTCAAAGTACTCCAGTACTACCCATCTCTGCCGGGGGACATCCTGCTAGACATGTTAAACTTGGAAGACGAAGCTGAGCCGCTAGATGAATCACAACAGGAACTGCAACTACTAAATGACGCACAATGCAAGCCGACCCGAACACGACTTCAGCTGGTCAGTGAAAATCGCTGGCTAGTTTGCGTCTGTCTAGACAAACGCTGTCGGTCATCCCAGAAAGGTGGACCGGAAGTGATGACATGTGACATGTCTCGCGTAGTCGCGACTAAAAATTCTCTTATCTATATATTTATAAAATAAACCGTGTTCTGTTCCAAATGCACTTCCGTCTGGAATGACTCTGTTTTCTGTTATTTTCCTAGTTGGGTTTACGCAGAAAGCAGAGGTAAGGGCAGCGGTAAAACAAATATCTCTGCAAACACAACGCATAAACCTAAAATGTCTTCGTCCTCCCACTGACTACTTGTCGTTCACTCTCTGGTTGTTGTTAACCACGTGCTGTAGCATTACAATGGTATATTGGTCAACTGATATATATATATATATATATATATATATAGATATAGATATATATATATGAGAACGATATTACGACGAAACAGCCGGTATTCTGATGAGAGCAAACCGGTTCATAATTGAATACAGATAGTCCAGGTGTTGGTTTGCTAGCTGTTCATTTATGCTGCACCCAAAGTCAACTGCTTCATTTTAACCACAGGCACCAGGTTTGAACTGCATACTTGATTTTGTGTCAACAGCACAAGTCGGCCATTTTAGGGTTTGGGTACCATAATGCCACTTGCACGGACGCATCTGATTCGCTATTCATTTCCGCGGCTGTTGATTCCCTTTTTGCATTTACTTTTTTACTCTGTTTTGCTGGCTAGAATGTAGTTTAGCAGTTTCCCTTAAAATCTTTTTAAAGCCATAGTAGCCAATGGGATTTAATTCATACAAGCCTTTCCCTTCTCCTATTTGCAGTTGTTCTTGCGGCTGGGAGGCGTGAACAGTCGGTGGCCATACTACCATCAACTTGGGGACGAATGTGTGAATTGGTCAACAATGGTGCTAGTCGTCACTCAGAGGAACAAATAGCCCGCCCTTAGAAACCTTCAGTCCAGGTTGGCCACAGTTGCTGTTCTCGAACATAAGAATGAATTACCCAGACCTTGTTCTACGATGATACCTAAGTTTCACCAAGCAGTGTTATAGAGCATGTCGCTCCAATAGTTGCGCTGTTTAATATGTTGCGCAGCTTTGGCGATATTTGGATTACCTGCATTCACAGTGCTGCAGGATCTGCCATATTTGGCTGGGTTACAAACAGCAAGTGCAGATTCAAATTCAAGTTCAGGTGGAACTGGAACGAGAGAAGAATCCGTGAATGTTTCTTCTTGAACGGATAGTTGAGTCAGGAATTGATGAGGTTCTCGGAAGCCTTGATGGAGCTACAACGGAGCAACAGTATCACACCCTGGTCTATTAACTACTGTCGAAGCTTGCGCACTAGAAATTCCCTGTATGGGAGTCATGTGAAGTAATTGTTAAGAACATAAATGGAGGTTACAGAATAAGGAGGGTCACTTGAAATAAGGGGATAAGACTAATGCATGAAGGAAAGCGTAGAAAATAAAATCGAAGTATGAAGATCGGAATCAGTCATGATGAGGAAAAGATTTTGTTTTGCCGCTGAAGTGTGTCAATTTGACGCTTAAACTTTCTAACCATGGCATCCCTGATAACAATTCTGGAAGCACGTGCCGGCGGTCGATGACTTAACGTGACAGCCGGGTTTTCGCCTAAATCGATCGGATCAACTTTTGTCATCTTCCTGCAATGACCGCGGAGATCCAACAATCCAACAGGACTGAATAGCTAAGACAAGTCTGAACCAACCTTTGCAGCGAACTACTTTAGGTTAGGATTAGGTCTGTTCTCATCCTACCGTATTACATTGAATGCATTTCCAAACTCAGTAGTCGCTCGGGGTACGTCTGTCCTCGTAACCCCTTGTTGTGTCCGTGCAAGCAGAACAGGAATTCAGCAGAGTAAACGGATGTATGGATACTAAACACAATTAAAAACGGGTATGACTATTAAACCACTTACAAAAGCCAATCGGTAACAGGCACGCATTCGTCCAATGACCTTTAAGTGGGCATATAATTCACGACCAACCAATAACGATGAGAAAGAGTAAGTTATTACTTCACAACGACACCACACTGTCTCCTCCTCTATTTTAACTATGTAAGCACTTCATGTCAGCGTTTGAGCGCTTGCTCGCGTAAGGTGGTAAAGGAATACACTTAGAGCAGGCATCACTTTGTGTTGCCCATCAAAACATACCGGTCGACAGGGCAACGCATCCGGCTTGACAATCTTCGTGATTCTGCTGTTCGTGAGGTTTATGCAATAGATGTAGCCGCTGTTGGAGTAATTTGAGGAAGAGCCGTATGCAAACGTTTCGCAGTAACTTGCGTCCCATCTGCCGGTTCGTATGTTCCTGGCGTATGCACAGATTCCACTAGGTTGTGATGTCGGAATTTATTATCTCCTTTGCGGGAACTGGTGAGTTTCACACGAACTAGGGTCCCTGGAGGACAAGTTTTTCCTAGTCGTCTGTATTTAGATTGGCAATCAATTCGTCTTTCACATTCAGTGGGGTCCGTAGTTTCTTTGAATTTACAAGCTGCATTTAGCCAGGTTGGGTTCACTCTTCGCAGCATCAGTTCTGATGGTGTTTTTGCCGTTACTGCACGCGCTGTGGTTCTGTATGTAGCCAAAGGTGATACCAAAGCATCCTCCCTAGATTCTCCCGAGAGTTGAAGGAGTGGTATAGAATCATTCAATGTCCGATTTAGCCGCTCAACCACTCAATTAGCAGCCTGATTATAAGGTACCGTCATGTCGTGTTTGATACCATTGCCCCGAAACAATTCTACAAACTCATTACTACTAAACTGCGGCGCATTTTCAGTAATACTTTTTATTGCAGCCCATCCCAAACCTTGCCACTTTATATCCGCATCGGATAGCTTTTGGCAATTTAATATAAAAGCAAATGGCAACCAGCACGTTTCGTCGCTGAGGTTTGCATTGGAAAATGGACACATGATATCGATGGGAATTTTAGCCCAAGGCTTCATAGGATACGCAATGATCTCATTTCGTCGCATGATATAATTTTAGATAACAATTTTTTGTTGCCTAGTGGCCGGCTGGTAGCTTTCCGGAACGATGCCTATCCGTTGCTGGCAGCTCAGCTGGCACGCAACTGTTGCATTT